CTGATTCATCAATCAATCACCACTTTCCACATGACCATCTTGTGCATTGAGGAGACGTAGTGATCCAGCCGTCTGAGATTTCTGATGTCTTGAGACCAGCCCGTCTGGTCTTGAGATCAGACAGTAGTGAAGACATAAATTCACCTGAGACTTCTTTAATCAGAACAACTATTTGAATAGAGTGTTCTGGGTCGAATCTTGAAATTTCATCTGCTTTCCCTTCAATTTTCGACTGATACTCGCTTCAATCGGGGGGAAAACTCCACGACAAATTTTGTCTCACTTTGATGGCCAAGGAGGACTACATCAGGCTTAGTAACTTGTACTTGCCTGGGAGTGAGGACTGACGAGTCTCAATTAATTCGAAACAACCCATTCTCCACAACAAATTCAGTATCATCCGAAGACGTCACACTCTAAACTCCAAAGTTCATCACCTGTCTTCTTGGGTCTTTATGTCGTGTTGATGTAACGCTTCTTGACTTTAAGGGTTAGAGTAAGATCGGAAAAATAATCATATTGGTAGCAGCGACTTTGTTTCTCCTCGACAAGATCTGTCAATGCTTGTGTTGATACTTGCCACCAAATAGCTTATCTGGGCCAGGAGCACAAAGTTTCCAGAAGAACAAAGACTCTTCGCAAATCATTCGAGATTATCTAGGTGGTCAGTTTAATATACAGAGCCTGTAGAAGCTCTCTGGCTTCGAACTTCACTAGGACTGGAGAGTTGTGTGACTGCGGATGTTCAGAAATATTCTTCCAGAAGGATTCTATCTGATGAGCAGTCGGCAGATTATCCACGATACGTGGTGGTCATTGAAATAATCAATATTTTTATCGAAACATAAGGTATTCATTGATACTTTCTTCTTGCCTCATTAGTAACCTTATGGTAGCTACTAGCCTTCCTATTCTATTAAGGCAATGCTACTCGGTGGTCAACAGCACGCTTTGACTCAAAGTGTGATAGACACTTCATTATTATCATTATTTGCATTTCAAATAGTATCTATTGAAAAGTGGAAACAACAATTTCTTGTTATAAACAAGTCATGTATGGGATTTACAGGGAACTCAAACCACGAATATTGAAAATCAATCAAGATTCCCTACGACAAACTGTTGCAAACTTCGACTTTGATCACTGAATGATGGACCGTTTTCTGTCTCTCTCTGTAGCTGCTGCTTGAAACATGATATTGGTGAATGTACCTGAAGAGAAATAAAAAAGTAGAAAATATACATTTGATTGTTTGAACACTCTCGATATAGTGGAGTTTTGCTGCCATTGGCTCTTGCCAATGGAAGGGAAGTGACACTCTTCCAACATAATGATACAATTCAAAATAAATCTCATTAACTTTCTGGAACGACTTCAGTGAAATGTTTTTTCAGAAGCAGATGAAATTGAATCAACACCGTCCTGTATGACGCTATTTGGAAGGTGTCCCAAGGCATGGAACATCATCAATCTGGTTTGAAACTTTTAGTGTGACCAGATAGCATTTATTCAGAAACACTGAGAAAGAAAACTTCAAAAATTGTATGTGATCCTCGAAACAAAAAAGCTATGGAATACATACCATAAACATAATTAGGACCACCTGCATTCAGAAACTTTCAATGCACTGTTTGGAACCTTTGGTGTAGTAATGAATATTACTGGAATTTTATCCCAATACAAACCCATTATACGTATAACCTCGATACGTATTTCAAATCACCAAGTGAACATATTCCTCTTGAAGTTGATCACTTGAAAATGATCAGGCGGATAGCTCTTCTCTGGAAGGAGTCCTGCAGCTTGGGGGTATGCTTAGGGGCGGAGCTCCTAAGCATACCCCCAAGCTGAGAATAATACTACAATGAAGGTCTAGTCTGAGCTTTAAGAAGCATGAAAAGTTGTTGAAGTGTGTACATTTTTCTGGTTCAGAACAGTGTTCCAAGCTTTTGAGTAGCAGTCTTTGGAAATCCATCAACAAACTTGTGCCAAGACATATTGCTGTTCATTTCAACCCCCAAGAAACTTATCGAAGCTGACATATCCGGTTCAGGGACATTTTTTTTTGGAGAAAACCGATTCCTGGGTATTCCTGACATTGAATTCAACCTGGTTACTTTTACACCAATTCAAAACCACATCTAGATCCTCATTGAGATATGCTGCCGGTGAACATGTGCATACGATGTAGATGTCCACGAATCCAAATGGCATGATGAGATAAGTGTGCTGTCGTCAGCAGAGCAATAAATTGGATTCTTGTTTTTTTTTTCAATGAGTGATTGATATACAATAAGAAGAGCTCTTCACTCTCCATGTTTATCGATTGAGTTTTTCCAAATGAGGGTGACATACGATAGAAAGTCGCCTGTTGATATTTGTTTCCGAAAGCCTTATTGATGGTCGCTCAAGATGTTGAAGCCTTCCAAATATCTGAGGATATGATGGATCGGCTTTCTTCATGATTTTTGATCACTGAATCTCAATGGCATGAAACCATTTCAGAAAAAGTATAGTCACCTGGGAACGTGGTCACAAAAAACCCTTCATGAAGGATCTATCTAGAAAAAAAAACTGAAGAACTGTTTCAACATACGCAGACTTTACCTACGGGCAATGCAACAAAGGGACATAGGCATTTTGCCACAGGAGGCAAGAAACTCATGGCCGTTCCAAATTTTATCTAGGACAAAATTGTGAAGGGACCAAAACTTCCGGATCTATTTGACCGTTCACAGCATACAATCTGTTCCGAGTGTTCAAATCTCTTCATATGGTGATTCAGATGACAGTAATAGTAGGCATGTTGAACAACGTACCTTGTCCATACTGTAATCGAAGAATTGTTTGGTATCATACTTATACAAAGAGCCAACCAGAAAACTTCTGAAGAGCCAAATTAGTTGGTGAAATGCGCTTCGCATTTCTGATGGTTAAGAAAAGTTCCTGTTTTGTATCTATCTAGACACTTTGGACAGCACCCACTTGTTGGAAATCCATAATAGCATATTTAAATAATATTTCATTGTGGGAATTTCACTTGACATTCAATACTATACAGGGTCCTGCAACAGTGGCGCGGTGTTCCATATCTCTATATAGGAAGCAGATAGGAATCTAATTTTCTATAATATTACCTTATTGCTCGAGCTCGACAAAATAAAAATATTGGCGGTCACACAGGGTGTTCGATTTTTTCTGGGCGGATCCCAACTGTGTCTTTTTAAATGGCAACCTATATTTTTTATCGCTTTTTCGGTTTCTTCATAGAAAATAAAATAAACTTTATGTATATCTGCACTTCGAAAATATTGA